TCCATTTTGTTCATCTCTTCATTGACTTTCAGAATGCACTACAGGACATAAATGACTTACTGTTAACCACTAAACAGCGGCTGCATCTTCTTGATTTCTAAGTGTTCTCTTTTCCCACAGACTGGGGCAAATATCTCCATCTGCTTTATGGAAAATGGCTGTATCTCAACTAAGGGGCCCTTAACTAGGATCTGGGGACTCATTTGTTTTAATATTTTGATAACTGTTTCAGTTTGATTGGTTTTCTTTGTCATCTTACATGTTTTACTTTATGCATTTAAAAACATTATTCTAAGAAAGGAACCATATGCTTCACCAAATTGCCAAATGGGTCTATGAGAAGGAAAAAAGGTTAACTTCTGATCTAAAGTTAGTCAACCTAACCCCTTGAGAGTTAAAAAAATAAATAAAATAAATTCAGCCAACCAACGTCTGTTTTGTGTCTCCATAGTGTCAAATAACAGATTTGGCTTTTCCTACTTAATTGACAGAATATAGACATGTCTCATTTGGAGTAATTGGAGATGTAAAGACCTAAAAAAAAAAGGGAATAATTCAGGAAAAAACACTTTCTTTGTGATTTTTCATTCACCATCCCTGAAAAAAAAAACTTAGAAAAAATATTTTGGGCTGACAATAAAAAGAAAAAAAATCCCTTAATCCTTCTAGTTTTTCCCCCAGGGCCTTCAGTAGTAACCCATCTACCATTTTAAAGGTACCTTGAAAATATAAATGAATGTCAAAAGCCTCATTCCTATGAAATGAAGCAATAAAATATTTTCATGCAACCTCTCCGGAGGGCATTTTTAATAGATCCATGTGTTTTGGGGAGCGAGGTACAGTCCTGATTTCCATTAAAATAAACTATGTGGAAATCTCCATGTAATTCATGAATTCTTAATCTTTTTTGTATCATGGCCCCTTGGCAGTCTGGTGGAGTCTACTCCCTTCTCTTGCCCTTGGAGTCTTGCCCTTCTCAGGGCAGGGTTTTCAAATGATAAAATACAAAAGATAACAAAGAAAAGTAATTATATTAAAACAAAGTTGTTAAAAATATTTTGGGGGCAGCTAGGTGGTGTAGAGTATAGACCACTGGAGTCAGGAGGACCTGAGTTCAAATGTGGCCTTAGACACTTACTAGCTGTGTGACCCTGGCTAAGTCACAACCCCAATTGCCTCACCCCACCCCCAATGTAAAAAAAAAAAGTTCACAGACTCCAGGTTAAGAACCCTTGATAAAATGAAAATATGTCTCAGCCTTAGCTGAAGAAGGTCTGAACATCTTTTCAGTTAATAGTTCTACTCTGATGCTTTTCCTCATCTTCTGCAAAGCTATGTTCACGGAACACAAGCTCTGATAAGAGGAAAGGCTTTGAAAATGGGCCCAGTGACAGAATGTCTGTTTATCATTCAAAGATCAGCCTAAGTTTGGAGAGGCTTATCACTAGAAGGCTAGCCACCAAATGCAGGAATTATTTTGGCCAAAACAGCTTATGTGTTGTTGTTATTATTCAGTCGTATCCAACTCTTTGTGACCCCATTTAGGGTTGACAGAGATACTGGAGTGGTTTGCCATTTCCTTTTCCAGCTCATTTTACAGAAGAGGAAACTGAGGCAAACAGGGTTAAGTGACTTGCCCAGGGTCATACACCTAGTACGAGTCTGAGGCTGGATTTGAACTCAAGTCTAACTGTCCACAGCCCCACCTGGCTGCTGTAAAGAGCTCATAAAGAGTGTTTACTGAAGTAAAACTATGATGGGAATGAGTGTCTACAGAGATGGAATCTCAGATGTAGTGTCTCCCCTGAGATGACCTTCTCCCTACTCTGTAAGTGTTTTGCATTTATATAGTCTTTAGATTATGAGCTTCCTGAAGGCAGGGACTGTGGATTTGCCTTTCTTTGTCTCCTTAGTGCAGAATATAGTGAGTTTTCTTTGTTGCATGTTGTAATTGGACTTGACCTGACGTCGTGAGCAGTAGGCCACCTGCCATTTTGAACATCTGAAGCCTTCCTTGGTAAAATGAATATGGGCTCCTTGAGAGGAGGGATGACCTTACTTTTCCATGTATATCCTCAGAGCTTAGAACAGTTCTTTAAATATAGGAAACAGTTCTTCTCCATTTGTTCATTCCATGAGTTTTCATAGCCTGACCTAAACAGTGGGGAAAGGTGACCCACCCAAGGTGACATAGGCAGTAAGTGTCAGACTTGGGCTTCAAGCCCAGGTCCTCTAATAGGAAATTTCATAATCTTCCCACTGTACCATACCTTTTCCAGCAAATTGTTTACCTCAACGGATTAGATCTATGATTTCATTGGAATAGGGAACTCCTAGGTGAGGGAATTATTGGTGCCAATGTGGACTGGCACCTTCTCTGCAACTCGTAATCTTACAGAGTTGTCAAAAGCACTGAGAGGTTGAGTGACTTGTCTAGGGTCACATAGCCATTATGTGTCAGAGGTAGGATTTGAACCCAGGTCTTCCTAGCTTCAAGATTGGCTCTCTTCTTTGGTTTGAAGCTAAAACTTTGTTAACCTGGGTAATTTATATCCAAGTGCAGTTGCCTTTCTGATTATTGTTGGAATTAGGTCTAACTGTAAAGAGAACATAGTGAAATTTTTAGACACAGAGCATTAGATTTTGCTAACTCTGAATGTTAAGTGTTAAATTTTCCTTCTGCTCTCAGTGGCTAACACTGGCTTGTTTTTCTGAAAAGTTCTCTTCAGTTTGATACAGCCAAAGGGGAAAGGATGATGTGACTAATTTCAGTTCCAAAGAAATGTTCACAATCTTTGTAGAATATTTGATATAACATGTGCTTTTTGGAGTTGAACACAAAAACATTCTCATTGAAAGGTTGCAATGGGGAGAGCACAGGACCTGGATTCAGGAAGACCTGTGTTCAAATTTGACTTTAGGTACTTACTAGCTGTGTGACCCTGAACACTTGACTTTTGATTGCCTCAGTTTCCTCTTCTATAAAATGGGAATAATAATAGTATTTACCTCCAAGAGCTGCTATGAGGATCAAATGTAAAGCACAGTGCTTGGCACATAGTAAGCACTATATATATAAATGTTATTGTTCAAGTTGTGTCCCATTCTTTGAGGTTTTCTTGGCAAAGATACTGGAGTGATTTGCTATTTCCTTCTCCAGCTCATTTTACAGATGTGGAAACTGAGGCAAACAGGGTAAAGTAACTTGCCCAGGGTCACACAGCTAGTAAGTGTCTGAGGCTGGATTTGAACTCATGAAGATGAGTCTTCCTGACTCTAGGCCCAGTATTCTATCCATTGAGCCACCTAAATTTAGAGCTAGGAGAGGCTTTAAAAGCCAACTAGTCCAACCTTATTATTTTACAGATGAGGAAGGTGAGGCCCAGAGATGTGGGCATCTTTTACAGGGGGGTTTTGCTCAGGTGTGGGTAAGACCACAAAGATGGCCCCAAAGGCTACTTCCAACTCTGAGATACTACAATTCTGTAACCTTATCCAAGGAGTTGTTATTGGGGAGAAAAGCCACCAAGATACCTCGTGACAACAAAGAGGTACTTTTAGAGATGTAGTTATTTAAATTCTGAGCTCATGTTCAGAGGCCAAATGTGGTCAGAACTAAACATGATACAGGAAGTTGCCTTTTGCCAAAGGAAATTGCGGTGGGGGAGGGGGAGGGCCTTCGCTGCAGAACCATGCAGTACACATGGGTCACCCGGAAACCTCTTTTAACCTCCACACTCCTGAATAAACATTCTACCTCAGGATGGGCTTCTTGAAGTACCTCCCTCTCCACACACACACATACACACACACACACACAGACACACACACACACACACTCACACTCACACATGCGTATTTCTTTGACATCTCACTGAGCTAAACATGACTGCAGGGAGAAAAATTGCTATACTTTGGTTCATGCTACAGAAATCAAATGCAAAACTTTCTTAATATATATGTTTCATTTAAACCAACTAACTGCCCACCCTAGAATGAGCTCC